TTCATGGCAGCAGAGCTGCTGTCAGAGTACACCCAGCTCACCCTATATTTCATCCCTTGGATATGGACAGGGGGAGAAAAGTGACAGACATGAAGGTGCTCAAGGGAGCAGAATCGCAGACTCCTGCAGAGACACCGTGGGGTGCTCCCTTGGTGTGGGGTGACAGCCGCCACTCGGCGTCGCGCAGGGCTAAATTTGCACAACGGGAAATGCGCATAGGTCTGCTGGCCTTTGTGGTGGGGACTTATGCCCAGTTCATCAGGCGTTTCCTGTACTCGGCTGAAACCTACTTTCTTCCTGGTCAAGTAGTCACATACTACATCCTCACAGATAATCCCCGCTCTCTGGATCCCCCCGTCAAGCTGGGGCCTGAACGAGAGATGAAGGTGGTTTCTATTGTCGAGCTGCCCGGGTGGGAAAGGCTGGCTCATCGTCGAATGACCCTTCTTGGTGATGCCATCCGAGGATCAATTGACAATGAGACTGACTACATCTTCTGTGCTGATGTTGACCAGGAGTTTGTTGCTCCTGTTAGAGCGGAAATCCTTGGAGACCTGGTGGCTACACTGCACCCAGAACTCTATGGGATGCCAAGAAATGCTTTCCCTTATGAGGATGATGAAGGCTCATCAGCTTACGTGGAAGAGGATGAAGGAGACTTTTACTACACCTCTGAGTTTTATGGCGGGGCGGTATCTGAGATGTACAAACTTGCTCGCGCTTGTTCTTTGCTCATTCTTCAGGACCACGCTGATGGGATAACAGCCAGGGGCCTAGAGGAGAGCTACCTGAACCGATACCTGATTGACCACAGGCCGACCTGCGTGCTGTCCCCAGAGTACAGCTGGTGGGATTCTGACCTGTCTGCTCAAGTGCCTGTACATAGGCTGCTGTCCTTGGGAAGGCAATGTGAGTCTTATAATGATAAGCAGAGAGAAGAACACAAATGTTGATTTTTTTTTTTTTTTAATGAAAAAAAGACCCATAAATCTACGCAGATCTATTGTTATATCTGACTGTGCTGTTATGACAGGACAGATGATGGAAAGAAAAGATAACGGAGGGGCACATACTGCAGTTAATGTCACAATTTCCATTTAACTGTTTGTTCTATAGGCCAATAAATGCAGCCTGCAATCACACCAGAGCAAACTGCGCAATCTGCACTGAATTAAAGATCCATTTGGGGGAACGATCCCCTGCACCTCCTATCTCTGCCAGAGCAGACAAAACGAAATTGACCTGTCTCTTTAAAAGGAAAGTCCTGTCTACTCCATTAATGTCAGCCTCAGAGATACTGCTCCATTGGCTTTGTGGTCAGCAGCGATAAGAGTCAACAGAGTAAGTGCACTCTTTTCCCCACAGTGGCCAATCATTAACTAGAAGAGCTGCTGTTTCAAGGTTTTTAAAGACCAGGTGGCTAAAAATGGACGCAACAGGATGCTGTCTGCCCAGATTGCACGTGTCTAAATTTGAGCTTTGTGAGAGTAAATGTTTTTGAAAATGTTTCAGGATGTACTGAATGTTTTCCACTATAAGCTGTATTATGACTTGGAGTAAAAAGCAAACTCAAACGACCTGATGGTGGTTGTTTTGTGTTGTCTGTGCATTGGCCTTTCTTGCTCTCTCATTCACACACACACACACACGCACAAACACACGCACAAACATACACCCACATTCTCACTTTGCTTTCTTTTCCATGTGTGCTGTGTTTTAATGGGAGGGTTAAACAGCAGCAGATGTTTTCTTCTCACTGCCAACAGAATCTGTCCTCGGGACCAGACCGCCACGTGGAGTGAAGTTGAAGGTGGATTTCAAATAATCCTGCGATACAAGCCATCAGGGCTTGCTACCTGCATGTTTTTTGACTCATTACTGGTATTCAAATTGGAACAGAATTACTCAGTGGACTTTCTGTCTCATAACACCCTGCTTTCACATATCGACATTGATTTCCGTGTGCAGAGTTCCTCAACATCTGGGGCTAGTTTCACTAAGACAGACTGACTGTGCCTTACATCTAAGTAGTCAAATTAATGTACTGAGAAAAAAAAACATCTTGAGTATTTTTTATCTTTTTTGAAGCCATTATCACTGTGGCTGTTACAATGGAAACCTATTTCTTCTTTGGCTGTAAAAAGGGGAAAATACATGATTTTATGAATCTGTATTGCTTTAATTAGATCAGCAGTCACCAGAACTATAGATCAGCCTACGAAACCACTCCCTGCTAGATTTTGCTTTGAACACCTGCTTTGAAAACCTTTGTTACCAACAGTATAAAGGGTATGTTGCTTAGTTTACCTTTATTCTGTCAGTCTGATCCATGATCAGTGCCCCTTTTTCATTCCACTATGCAAAGCAGGTTGAAGCAGGTTTAGTGGTGGTCAAAGAGAGCATATTTCCAGGAGCAGCATAACCTAAAGCAAAAAGAGACAACACAGAAATCAGTGATGTGAGAAGATATTAATCTGAATATCAAATCTTACTTTGCTGACAGATAAATCTGTTATGCTGGATGAATAGGACAAGGGGGATTCCTTCAATTCTGATTATATAGAATAGGGTTCAAACTCATATACTTCCTTGGGTGGGCTTTACAAAATTACCTGTTGAAATGTTAAAGAGTCATCAGTGGTTTGAATTTATTTGGCTTCCCTTATTTCAATGTAAAACAGGCTTTGATCAGTTATCGCTAAAATGACTTTGGTGAGTGGCTTAATGGTGAAGTATGAGGTTACTCTTGCTGTGTACCATTCCTGCACATTTTTTTTGCAGGGATAGCCTGGGAAGTGTGCATAAAGACTAAATAAATAAATAATACAGCTAAATAATTGACATGTGTGATTTGGTATCCACATTGTATCCACATACACAGAAATGAGAAACCAAGAGGCAGTTTGAAGCCTGCAGCTCACCCCGCCTACACGTGTCTGTGCTAAAGGAGAAATCTTGAAGCATCTGGATAAAATCCAGTCCGGGATGTTGCTGTGAGGCACTGTACCTCTGCCTGCCTATTAGTCTCAACTACAGTTCACTGAAGAAGTAGGTTAAGGTGTCGGAGAACACCAGTGATGATGGTGCAACAAAATGTTTCACATAAAAATTAGAGCTTTAACAGCTTAGGTCTCCAGGTGGAGAAATACTTCATTTTGTTGAAATGATATTCCAACAGGCCGAGGCAAGTTATACATGATGTCGGAGAGCATCACACTAACCAGCAGCTGGAGAATGAACAAGCTTGCAGTTTATGTGATCAATTTGCTTCTCTGTGACAAAAGCTGTTGATACTTTTATATGCAGCTTTTTAAAGAAAACACATTGTCCACACTATTGGCAGTGTTTATAGAAAGTGTGATAAATAGTTCCAAGCATTAACAATATTGCACTACTTCTTAAAATATAACCACAGACACAACAGCATGACAGAAACTGATACTTCTCGTTCACATTAATGTATATGAAAACTCTGTGGAGTTTAATGTGTGTTAACATACTGGATGGAGTTTTCTTCATTATTGATATAGTAAAAGAACATGTAAGAAGGAGGAAATGTAAACCCTTTGATCTAAGTACAATAAGTGCATCTTTATCACTCTTACTGACTGTAAGCTCCAGACTCCACTCACTAAAACCTCTGTTTGGCATCAAAACTGAAGCCTGACTGGTCAAATCATGCATTCATTAATATCAACACTCAGCTCAGTTTAAACTGTTTTTGTGCTCCAGGTAACAAACTTAAGCATCACGTGTTTAATGTTTAACCTGAAAACAACGGGTGTGTAATTTTTAGGTATTCCTAAGCTTCTACCAGGCGACACTTGACACCTCTGTAAACACAGAAGCTTTAAAATCAAGGAGCCCTATCTTTGTTTAATTGTTTGCACACCAGGCAACCCATCAGATAAAGTAGAGCACAACTTGAGCTGAAACGACCTCACACTTCATATTTGCTTGTATTTGATCCAAGAGAAGCCACAGAACAGGTTATGTAATGCTTATGAAGTACAGCTTTCCTCCCAGCCAGGGTTGTGTTTCACTATTGTCAAGCAGATAAAGGTAGCTTACAGTCAGTGGTATTAATGAGCACACTGTTGAAATCATGTTTAAATAAACTTTATATGTGCATATGTTTTCTAGAGAAATGAAAAGAGTTACTTTGTCAGTGCGCTGATGTATAGGTTCTCAATATGTTTGTGCGTGTGTGTGTTTGTGTGTGGGCATGCATGCAAGTGTGTGTAACTACTCAAGGGGAAGGGTGGGGTAAAGAGCCATGATAATCTGCTTGATTCACACAAGCCTTTCCCCACCCTGCCTGGGGCTAAGCCAATAATCACCATTCCAGGGGACTGACACTGGAAGATAGTCGTCCAGCTTACAGGGGGGTGAAAACTTGTGCTGATGTTATCTTATATGCCATATCATTAAAGGCACCATATAAGATACTATCAAGCTATAGGCCAGTATGGGCGTTTATAGTTCAGGGAGGTCCAAAAGTAACTGAAATTCAGGATAACAGTGGTAAAAACTTATTTGAAAGGAAAGGTACTTGTTGTAGACTGTATGTTGCTCCAGCAGCTACCTTTCACGGTTTCGGCAGGTTAGAATCAGTTTCACCGTGTCAGCAAAACACAGCAGGCAGAGGAAGAATGCGCAGCTGAAAGAGGTTATTGGCTTACACAGAAGGGGAACTACTAACTAGTAATTTCTCCTCTTATAGTAATAAGTAACTCCTGCAGTCTCGTTTTATTAAACACATAGCAAGATACAGCTGTGAATTAGGCTGCTAATCATATCTAAGTTATAGAAGAAATACTTAATATATTATAAATGCCCAAAAGTCTTAAAAAAAAACATATATATCTTTATGACGTACTTAAAAGTCGCTGTGGTAAAAGTTGAAGAAGAAAAAATAGCAAGCTGACAAGTGAAGACATATAGAGGTTGTGAGTCCTGAGGGCAGTAAGTGTAATCCCTCCCCGTCAGAGTGCGAACAGTGAGCTTGGACTGCTAAATGCTCCAGCCTTCAGAGGGACGATGGTGGAGGGCTGATAAAGATGGCGGCGCTCTCCGTGGATGGGAGATACGGATTAAATTGTGGCCAACAAAGCGCAGAAAGAGTCACTGTATTACATGTAAAGTTAACCGAGACAGCACTGAGGGCGATAGAGACCTACCAAAACTGTACGGTGAGTAAAACGCCTTGTATTTCAAGAATAAGGACTCAAACTGACACTGCTCGGATCAGCTAGGAAGTCCCAACTGCCACGCATAGCTAAAAGCTACAAAGTTAGCTAAGCTGTTGACAGAGCAAGTTTCAGCTGGGTTTTTTGATCACATTAGTCGGGTGTCGTGAAAGTAATCAACGGCAGAAGATAAATGAGACCTTGGTCTTATATTCTAGCCAGGTTTTACGAACTGACAAATATGATTTAACGTAAAAACCTGTTGGTTGAGCTGGACGCTGATTAGCTAACGCTAGCTCTACGTTATTATGTTGTGCTGACCAACCTAGTCCATTTTTTTCTTGCCAAACTAATGTTGCTTACCAAATTAGGAAAGTGGTAGGCTCATATCGACGAATACACTAGACAAGCTTCATGAGCATAGCGTTTTAACATTAAAATATTAAATCGCAGTCAAGTAACTTGAACTTTTTTTCGACGACGTTATATATTAAGAGCAGGAATGGAAACATAGCAATAAATGAGTGATAATCTAACTTTGATCACAGGTTCGTGCCGTTTGAAGCATGTCGATGACTGGTTAGCTTGCCATATGTTTAGATTTAGCCAGCTGGCAAAACCTAACAAAAACCTGGCTGGAATATGGAGCTCCTAGTCAGGCTCGCCCTTTTTTAACTGTTTAACTTTGTTATAATCTGTTGCAGTCCAACACTAGCTAGAGATACAACTGAGCAAGCATCTCCAAGGTTTTCATAGGAAAATACATAGGACATTTATTTATTGAGTTTCTTTCTTTTTTTTAATTCATTTAATATATATCTTTTTCTAGTTGGTGTCAAGCTTCACTGAGAAGAATGAGCCAGCATTTATAAATATGTATAATACAAGACCTTAAAAAAATGAAAGGAAAGCAAGAAGAACAGCTTATTTTTGTCCTTTTTTTTTCTTTTTTTCTTTTTTGCATTAATGTAATGTATTCCCATACTAATTCAAGCCAGTGTGCTGTAACACAAAGTAGTGCTTTTAAAACTACTGTTTGCTCTGGATCACTGCATGCCTGTGCCGTTTAAATATAACTTGTTAATCTTGAACCTTGTGAATGGTGTAATCTTGTTGAGGTGAATGCAGGTGGACTAATCTGGAGAACCTCTGCAGTCTTGAATAAGGAGGCCTAAAGCCAGGTTACCTGACTTTTCTCTGCCAACAACAACGCTGTTACGTAACACACTGGCCAGGTCTAGGTCTCCACTCAGGGATGATACATTATAGCTTGCTAGTAGGCTATAGTGTGCTGAGGTTTCTGAGACTTTATCATTTTATTGCATATACACTTACCTGTCTGTCTGCCAGCCACACATTGTATACATTCTTGTATGATAAGCTTTGGCTTATTGTCAGCCCCGTGAGAATTCCTCTTGCAAATATGTGTTTATAAAATGTGGATATAAAGCAAAATCCAAAATGATTATTCACACGGTTTTGTGACAGCTGGCAGGCTGCGTTATCACTTAGTTGAGGGAATTCTTTTGTGACAGCCCGTGCTACAACCTTATTGGATGTGGTAATGTTGGTCTGTTCTCTGCACTGAACAGCAGCCTGCAATCTCTTGCTGACTGAGCAGCCAAAAACTGCCTGCTTTTTGTTTCTCTCTCCCTCTCGGTAATGTGTGCTGTAGCTAACCCAGTCATCGAACTCTGGAAGCCGGCTATCTTTGTCTTTCTGTGGTGATGTGAAATGTGATCAGAACGGTGTGAGTGGGGGGAGGAGGGAGTATGGCTTGGAGTAGCACAGCTTTTACAACCATGACATATTTATTTCAATGTTTTAAAAAAAAAAGTGCCCATTTTATCCAGTCACCTACTTCTTGGGTCACTTTAGGAAGACTCAGCAACGTGGAGAATCTGTTGTTAATAAAATGTGCATACCTCCCACTCAGACTAGTTCACAAGTCTAGCTGACTGGTTCATCTGTGTACTTAAGCCGGGTGAAGAAACTGGGAGTCATGTGCTTCTCCCAGCTTATTGTATACCGCTGAAGAGCAGCCACCACATATTTGTGGCTGTCACTCTTATTTCAAGTAGCCACTGGCACAAATGTAAATAAAAGAGATTTAGAAATCTACTATTAAAAATAACTGGTTTGTTTTTAGTGTCAAAACAAATCATTTCACCTACCACTTAAAGACACAGGTAATTTCGATTTATTCTCTCTCTCTCTCTCTCTCTCTCGGCTTTATAGCCCTCAGGTAAAGATTGTCTTTAAGTGGCTCACTGAGCATTATATGCTGCAAATCACCCATGGCTTCAGAAAAAAACATGCAAGCTGTCCATACAAGGAAAACTGCAATAATTGGGTGACTGTTTAAATAGCTCTGGCCAGACCGATGTGCCATATAGCACTTTGAGCTTTGGAAATGTGAGGCTTCACACTATTTGTCTGATAATTTACTGACCAAACAACCAGTTGGTTAATTGGTGAAATAATCTGAATATCAGCAGCAGCACTGCATCAGACACAGCGCTGTTAACAAGTTCCCAGTTGCGTGATTGACAGGGATTATCTTTGCTGTGCTGCCTCTTTATTTTTTCTCTTTTGCATCATGAATACTGATTATGACCTAGTTACTTGCTCTCACACAGACAAAGAAGGCACGTGCTCGTCAGATATCAGCTGGCTGTCAGCTATAGTCCTAGCAGCATGTTTTTAAATGTAGCCTTTAAACAAACATGTAGAGCAAGTGGTTAAGCGTTCAGCATTTGTTTGCATTATGATGGAAGCATGTGTTATAGGAGGACTGGGAGTAAAGTGTAGTGTAGATTCTAGGCCTTTATTTTCTGGGGTTTTTTTATGCTTATATATGTCTGTATATATATATATATATATATTTTATTTTTTATTTCAGGGGTTAAAGTATGTGTGTGTTTCCCCTTATTTTCAGAATGTTCCTTCTCTGCGGTCAACGATTCAGTTCAAGGGACTACAAGGGGTAAGTCCAACAAGGAAAACAAAAAACCTGGTTGTATTTTAGGTTGTGAGTCTTGCATTAACTGATGAAAATAAGCTTGCCAGTTGTATTCATTGATCCTAAAATCAGTAAAACCTCTTAACAATTTCTGGCATTAACTTATTTTAGCACTTGTAATAAAATATAAATTTAATACAAAATGGCCAATTTAATGATTCAAACGGAATTGTTTTTAAAGCAAGATCATTTCTTTTTTCTTTTTTAATGTGTGTTTTCCTCTGATGTTTAACACAATAAAATATCAAGTTAATAATTGGTTCATATATATTTTTGTATGATGTATGTACTCCATAATGGCATGGCTCACCTCCCATTAGATGATAAGAACTTGGGTTGTCCTGTTTCCTTGTAACTCTAAAATTGTTCACATCATCCTCTATAGCTCTACTGCTGAATACACTGTTATACTGTTTGTGTTATACTTAATATGTATGTGTTATTTGACAGCGCATTAAGATTCCCAAGAGTGACTCTTCTTCAGACGCCTTCCACAATTTTGAATTCTACCTGTCTAATGTGGGCAAGGACAACCCTCAGGGAAGCTTCGAGTGCATCCATCAGTATGCGTCGAGGTAGTGTTAATCGCTGGTCAGCTGAATCAACTGTTACTTTCTTACCACACGTTGCTGGAAGGTAATCCCTCTCTTGCATTACATTTCTCCCCCATACTCCCTCTTTGTCTCCAGCTCAGGGGCCTCACACCTGGCATTGTTGGCGACAGTACACGACAAGGTCACAGTGTGTGCCACTAATGACTCCTACCAGGTGACCCGGGAGCGCATGACCCAGGCTGTGGAGGACACACGAGAACGTGGGACCAAAGTCATCAAGCCTGGTGGTCAGTACAGAGGTAAGACCCTTCCTACAATCTCGCTTATTTCCCACTGCTGCAGTCAAAGGGCGGTGTGGATCCCACATGTCACCATGGCTTTACAAACCCCTCTTCTCTCTTTTCAAACTCTGCCTCTTTTGAGAGCCTGAATAGGTGAAAGCTGACAGACTAACTCTATTCAAAGCCATTATTGCGACTGACTAAGCTATTTTGCCGTCTCAGTTTTTTCCAGATTAGGAGTCTGTCTGATAATGACAAATGGTGGCAGATAAAGCTAATGCTGTTTTAGTAATGCATAGCTTGCCACAGAGTACACGCTTTACTTTTGTTTTATTGTGTTTAACATTTATCTTTTCAACAAATTATGTCTTCATGTTTTCCTTACACATGAGGGATGTATAGTTGTTACAGTGTTTTATATACAGATAGCTGTTGCTCTTAAACTTGCTGCATATTTAGAATGACTGCTGGTACATGCAGCTAATCTAGGCTTACATTAGGTATTCCCTGCTTTTCAGTTGTCTGACAACAAAAAAAGAATGCGTAAAATTCAAATACTTTGGCTTATGCAATGTTAAAAGATAGTTTGACTGATCACAGAGAGTTGATACTCAGCAATGTAACCAGACTGCATTCACAGACCGCGCCTGGGTGGCAGCAAATTTAAGAAGACAACTTTGTTGTCTTCACCTTCTACAGTAATCAAGTATTTTAAATTTCACTATAACCCACGGTAAAGAGCTGTTGCCCTGTTCTGTATTTATGTTAAGTTTTCTAATCTCTATCCTGATCTGAATTGTGATGAAATTTTGTTGCTTGCCAAAAAAGAAAAGGAGGGCAAAGTATATCTGTCCCATTTCACTATAGAAATCGCTACAAATCCCAGTTTGTGGTTTAAATGTCATTATTTTCACACATACAAGTAAGCATTTAAAAATGTATACTATTTACTGTAGATGTAGTCTAAAAGCCTTTTTTTTTCTGAGCCCTGGGGACATATTTGTATATTTGCATGTACTGTCACATATAGAAACTGGGAATCGAGATGATGTACAGAAAAGGGGGTGGGTCAGTAGTTTGTAGCACCTGGTTTGAAGTAAGTATCATATTTACAGATGCGCCAGGGGCCTTTAGATTCTTGTTTTCACAGGCTTTTTGTTTCAGATAGCAGCCTCTAACTTTCCCTAATCTTTGTCTGCCTTCTGCAGTCGCATTTAAAAGCAGTAACTCTTAATAAATGTACCGATGGTCTTTCTGAAGAAGAAAAATGTGTTAGCAAAAGCATTACGCCTGCTAGAATCTGTCACTGATCTCTGTCACTGTTTGCGAGTCTTTTTCCTTTTCTTTGACGAGGAGGGAGGGGAGGAGTTTTTCCTTTCTCTTCCTTTCCCTAACCTTAATCTTTTAAAGAGCTTTAGAATTTCATAATGACCATGAAGAGGTATACAGGGAAGTGTTGTCACCATGATTAAGCACATTGCTCAGTAATAAGGTTTCTCTGGCTTTAACGTCAACACTTTAAAATGGGTTCTCTAAGCTGCTTAGTGTAGTTATGTAGTTTGGTATGGTCAGTTTTCTTGCCACATACACTTTCACTGCAAATGGCATTAACATCAGGCCATATTGTCACTGGTTTCAAAAACTGAAATCGTGAATGTCACTGACATAACAAAAGCACTCATTGTGTCTCTTATATCCTGTGGTTACAGTTCCTAATGTCAGTTTGAAATAAGGTTTGACTTGAGCAGCTCAGCTTCTTTGGTCTTCCTACGTATCATTGACACTCTCACATGATTTCCTCTCAGAAAAGTTCAACCCATGTGTAGGTGACCAAATCCTGGTTAATGTCATTCACATACAGCAGTGGAGGATTTAGTTTACTGTAATCCATTAGTGAACACAGGTAAAAGAGTATTATGGTATAAGTTATTCCTGGTCCTTTAATATACCTTTAAAAAAAAAAATGTATATATATATATATATATATATATCCCCCCATCCCCAGTCCATAGGTCTGGCATAGATCCATTTAGCCTAAGCACATTGCCAGGATTGTAATACACTGGTGGAAACCCTGATCTATTTCTTTAAGCTCTCACTATTATAATCATTGGATCAGTCCTAATGTATGTGTAATGTAGATGCAATTGACACCCACTTTTAATAAGAGATGTTAATCAGAAGTTCTTATCTGTCGGCGTAAAAGAATCATCTGTGATGAGCCAGTCTGCAGAGAAGAGAAGTGGTAACTTTCCATTTTCCTTCTGTTTTGCAGGAAAGCAAGTACATATCCGTAAGCCTGCACTTTCCACCCCAGAAGTGGTCCCAGAGCGTAAACGCTCCACACCCATCAACCCAGCCAACACTATTCGTAAGTGCCTTTCCAATAATCCTGTATCGCAGCGGCCGTTCAGAGACCGCATCATTCATCTGCTGGCACTCAGGCCCTACAAGAAGCTGGAAGTGCTAGCACGTTTGCAGCGTGACGGTATCAACCAGAAGGATCGCAACTCATTGGGGACCGCCCTGCAGCAGGTATTTCACAACAGGAGATTTAAATGCATGAGTTTGAACCGATTTGTCTGTTTATGAAGGCTAACAAGATTGTTGCTTGCAGATCTGCCTGATGAAATCCTGCTCATTTTATTAATGCTTCATTCATGAGAAATGAGACTCTTAGTCGTTGAACAGTATTTGCATACACAGATGTTTAGCCAGCACAGGATGTATGAAGTATCTATGCCAGTATTCCTGCTGCCACAACTTAACTTTGAAACTCTGTGTGTTTCTATGCAAATTAGGTGGCAAACCTGAATCCCAAAGACAATGCATATTCTCTGAAGGACTACATATACCGTGATGTCCAGCGAGACTGGCCTGGTTACTCAGAAGATGAGAAGTCTCAGATTGATCGGATCCTGACTCGGTACACAAGCAGCCAGTTCAGCTTTTTATTCTGATTAATTTTGTTTTGCCTTTGATTAAATTAAAAGCAGTCGAGATATTGAAAAGAAATGTATAGAACAATAGGATGTGAAATACAGAGCAGAGATTGTCATGCTTGAATAGAAGCATCAGTCATTTGGTCACATGGCAAGTGCCAAAATATAGCCTCAATTATGCTCCTAAATGGTCTCCTGCTTGCCTGTAGTGATAAAGCATTTGTTCTTTATGGTGTGTATTTGGGCTAACACTGTTTACATTTTAAGCAGAAGTGGTTTTACATACATGAGCACAGTTTCCAAAAGAACGAATGAAACGCTGAAACTCGTGAGAGGGTGAAGAAAACACACTGTTCTGTTATCTTGATGTGTGCCATCAGCCTGCAGTACATGCTATAGCTTCTATGAAAACATCGACACTGTTTAGACTAGCTTATGGTACGGTTTATTTTGACATTAGCTACACTACAGATTTGTGTTTTAGAGCCATTTCTTCTCCTTCCTGTGTTGTGTCATTGGAAAAATGTAAATTAAGCCTCATGAATATGACCAATCCACATTTTTAGCAGGTCTTAGTGTAATGATGGTTGAAGGCTACCCTCTAAGTTGCCCTTTCTTGCCACTTAGACTGTTCCCCACTGATAACACTCTGTCTTTTCTTCAATAGCAAATTAGGTCTTCCTAATGAGATAACTGCAACCTCATCCAGTGGTTCTCCCAAAGACAGCGTTCCCACATCGCCTCAGGTACCTGAACAAAAATTCTCTAAAGCTCAACCCATGGTGTTATATGATTTTCAGGCTAAATTCTGTGTTTGGTTTCGTTGGGGGGGTTTTGGCAGAAGCGTCAGCCAGACTTTGATTTCATTGATCCTTTGGCACCGAAGAAAGCCCGCATCTCCCACCTCAGTAATCGAGGGCCAGCCGCATCCTCCTCCTCGGATCGCCTTGAGGACGAGGGCAGCCTCAGCTCTAAACGCTCATCCCTACCCTCCAATGTCACCTCAGGCCCTCCCACTCATCTCCCCATCTCATCCCACCCACCTGCCCCCTCTCACCAGCAGCCTAGCCCAGCTTCTAACACCAACTCACCAAGCACCCCAGAGGGCTGTGGCACCCAGGACCTGCCCGTGGACCAGAGTTCCTCCTGCAGAGATCCTTCACCCAAGTCCTTTTCGTCCAATAGATCCCTGCAGGATCGCTATCAGCATCCTAATCCCGGTCCCAGACCATCCCCCAGCCCTCCGCCTTGCACCTCACTCACAGTTACCTCCACTGTCATTTCTAGCCCTCCCTTATCCAGCATCACCAGTAAGAAGGTTAAAAAGAAGTCTAAGAAGCACAAAGTCAAGGATCGAGAAAGGGAGAAAGGGAAGCGAAAGGAAAGAGATGGCAGTAGTTCTCATGGTGTTGCGGATCAGGCCATAGAAAGTCATAGAGCCAAGAAGAGGCAGAGCCCTGATGAAGAGACCAGGAGAGTTATCAGCAAAAGTTCTCACAAAGATCAAGGTGCGTTTCTGAATCTCTTGTATGGACCGCTGAATCAGATACCTGCACTTCTGGAAAATCTATGTTGTCACTTTAACTCAGAAAACAGGACAGCAACCTTTACATTACAGGCTTCCATTTCTTTGCAGCAGCCTTTGCTTTTTCAGCAGCTGCACCACTGATTTTATGAGAAAAATGGGTTTGTCTTTTCCTATAAAAGCAGTGCATGTCTGGCCATCAGTACCTTTCTGTCCTGATTATATTGAATAAAAAATCCTGTGCTGTGGGTTAATGTCATCATGCAACAAACATTTACATTACTGTTGAAACATCAGGGATTAACTAAAAGAGACCTGTTCATATTCTTTACATCAGAACAAGATGGTTAAAAATAAAATCCTGTTGTTAGACAGTTTTCCATCACAGCAGCGTTGCTTATGTTTAATGTTCATTATAAATTCTGTACTTAGATTCTTGCATATTGCTGTCTCTCCTCAGACTCTTCAGACAAAGAGAGGCCAGTCCAATCCACTGAATTTTCATCCAAAATAGATACACCTGACTATATCCTGTAAGTAACTGTTATAATTCTAAAAGGGTCCATTATCAACACAGTCTTTTTTTTTTTTTTTTTTTTTTTTTTTTTTTACCTCTCAGGTTTCAGCTTTTTTTTTTTAAATTTCCTCTTTTCTCAGCACAAATTGTGAAACAATTGCAAAAGAGCACAAGCGAATTAGAGTAGACAAGAATTAGGACACGTGAAATGCTGCCGTAAACACAGATGTGTTTCAGTGTGCATGCTAGTATTCTTTGTTCATTGCTGTACTAGGACTGTTTTGTACTTTCCACATCAGTGGTAATGAGTTCAGGGAATATCTTATCCGTAGCACATTTGAAATGGAGAAGTGCAACAGATGTTGAACTTCCCATATGTCTATAAATGGCATGACCTTTTCAAAGGTGCATTCAGAATAAATAAAGTTTGGAAAGAGCATGTTCATAGTCCAGTGCTGGTATTGGTGTTCTCTGTAACAGCTCTTTCTGGATTGAAATTTCAAATTAAAACTTACTTTGTCACCACTTTAAAATGTATCTAATTTTCCTTTGTTTACAGGAAGTACACAGCATTGGTGTCCCTCGACCAGCGGCAAAGCTACAAGGATGATTTCAATGCAGAGTATGATGAGTACCGCCTGTTGCACGGACGCGTGGAGAACATCACCCGCCGCTTTACCCAGTTGGACGCCCAGTGTCGGAAGTTGGCCCCTGGCACCAAAGAGCATCAGGTCATATTGAAACTTTTTGCTTGGATACATTTTTGATGATGCTGATGACTGCAGAAAGACCACAATCATAAAAACGTGACACAGGCTGTTCTCTCTCTGTATGTGTGTTTTAATCATTTTCTACATTATTATACATTTGTGGTCCTGTTGGCTGTGACAGAATATAATGAAGTCTTTGGCTTTTAACCATTCACAACTGGCTCTTTGTATAGTGCTGACAAACAAACAGGAGGCAGTAATGATGGACGGCTTATTCATAATCAACAAAAAGTAATAGTGTTGTCAAAGTTTCACAGCTGCTCCTCAATCCAGAGACATTTGCAACCAGCAGGCGACAGACATTTGTTTAGAGTGCTAATAGTTTCATTCTGTGCTTCGGTTCAGGGTCCTGCTTTTGTCCCCAGCTATTAGAGCTTTTGCGTTTTTTTTCATTTCCTTAAAGTAAATGTAGGTGGGTCAGTATTTCGTTTATCTACAAAAAGTGAAAGAATACGTGTTGTTTGTAATGTTTATACATGACGTCCATTGGGAACAACTAATGACTTTAATCATCTTTACAGAAGGTGCAAGACGAAATCGTGAAAGAGTACAAAAAGATCAAACAAGTAAGTTACACAGGCTGTCATCAGTTTGTGTGCATTTCTGCCTTTTCCCCTGATATAACCTAATAACAATGTGAATCCTATAACCAAGTCTTTACCTTTTTGAATGTTTGTTGCATTAAGTTTGGCCAAAATGTTCTCACACTCCATAATCACGCTCATTCTTAAGATCTGAATTAGACACACTACGCATACATGTACTGGTGGCAGGGTGGTATGTGCACACCTGTGTAAATGACACAGTTTTAACTGATGTGAAAAGGTGCATTAACGTTAAATATTAAATCCTTCAAATATTAGTGCAGTATTGTTGCTTTATATTCCATGTGCATAAAGATTATTACATAATTGGACATATGCAGAAGCTCTTTCTGTCCTAAGACCATTCGGAACTGTGAACCTATTAGAGTTTAGAGCCTGATTATTTCTTTGACTCCTCTTTTGCATACCAATCAACTCAATATGGCTATAAAACGTATTAAAGCAGGCTAAATATGAATGGTCACAAATACCAGTAAGGAATGGCAGCTGTGAGAAAGTGCTGAAGTCATGATGGCATGCTGAGATAACTTAACTTCTGAGCAGGAAGACAAAGCACCTCCTCATGGATTTGTATAGGAATGTCAGGCATGTTTAGGTAGTTTCCTTTTTGCTGTGTTTGTTCATGAACAGGGTGTCAAAGGAGAGCTTTCAGAAGTGAACTCTATCTGCCAATTCATAACAAAAGTGCCTGAAGTATGCAGAGTAAAATCTGGATAAACTAGAATTGTGGTCAGTGAAACAAGGCAGACAAACATCCACAGTAAAGTTAAACATTTTACTCACAACTTTCAACCTTTTTAGTGTTTCTTGAAAGATGCCCTAAAAGTCTCATAATCTGAAGTGCTCTGTAAGGAAGAGTGCATGCCACGATTGGTCAGGAAATAACAGAGCATTAGCAGGTTGACTTCTTTTATTTTAAGGATGAACAAAATGTGTAATTTGTTCTGCACTTTAAAAAAATCAAACCAAGTGCTGCTGGTGAACTGACATTTTCTTTTTTTTTTTTCCCCTTTTTAAAAAAATAGCACAGCCCCAACTACCACAAAGAGAAACTGCGCTGCGAGTACCTGCACAACAAGCTGGCCCACATCAAGCGGCTCATAGCTGATTTTGACCAGCGCAGAGCCCAGGCCTGGTGCTGAGAGCACAGTAGAGAACAGCTTCACTCATCAGTATTGAGAATGGAGGTTCAAACCAAGAGCATCTGTCCAGCTGTCTCTTAGCTATTGAGACCCCTTCAGTTGCTGCCTTCGCAACAGCTCCTTCCCCTACTTTCCTCACCATTTTTCCTTCTCCTGTTTTCTTGCTTCATTCCTCCTTTTCTTTTTGACCTTTGATTCCACAGGCTTCATTGGTGCCTGCAATCCTGCTTTTCGACTTTACCCATCGATCCTTTGCTTTTGCAGTATTTTTTTTTCTTCTTCTCCTGTGGATTTGACACCACTGGACCAGTGGAAGGGGCCGTCTGCATGTGTGAGCGGGTTTGTCTCTAACTTTTGAAGGACTTTCTCTTCAGACAAAAGTATTTTTGAGCATCAGATAAAATATTAACATGTATTTAAGTAAAACAAAAAAAGAGGGAGATCTATTTATTTTGTGACTCGTAGTGCAAAGTAAGAGTCTGCAAATGATATATTGTTTAATTTTTTTTAAACAATGCAAAAAAAAATACCACAGGCCTTATGTGTTTTGACTTTGTGAAGCCATTTTGAACGCAGATCCATCTGTCATCTCATCTGACAAAGATGCCTGTCTTGCCTCATTTCCTCTCATCACTTCAAACGGCAGTGGATAACCACACTTCAATAAATTGCTGCCGAAGCTGAGTTTGAAGCTGAGGAGGAAGGAAATGAGACAGGAAGAAGAAATCACTTGAGCTGATTAAGAAGCAACAGTGTGTGTGCATGGATTGTGAATTTAATTGCAATGATGAAATGGTGTTGAAGGTTGGCGTAAGCCAACCCCTCCCCCCACCCTGTCAGTAGGGGGCAGTATTTCCCGCACCAAACAATATTTAATGTTCACAGTGCATTATGGATGCCTTAAGGTGTTTACATTCTGAAATGTCGAGCTGGGCCTTGGAGTCCACTGGCTGTACAAAGGAACTACAACTGCCTAGAAACAGGTCTGTGTTTGTGTTTGTGTGTGTGTGTGCGTGAGCGTGTGTGGGTGGGTGGTGTGCAGATGTCAGTGATCGAGAGAGGAAGGGATGTAAAGTCTGGAAGGAGTGTTACAAATTGTGTGTAGTTGTATGGATGTGTATTATGTTAAATGAAAGGAAAAATAGAAATGTGGAGAAGAAATGAAGAAATATAGAAAACAAACAAAAAAAGCTGCTATAGTGTTTAACACCAGCCAGGAACACTCAGGATCGACCTGGCTGGAGTAAGAGTACCTGATCCTACCTGAAGAAAGAAAGAAGATCCTTATTCGGTTCTTGTCTAGACCTTGCAAAGGACTACCCCCCCCCAACCTCTCGAGCTTTATGCAGCGGCAAACAGTTTTTTGTTTTTTTGTTTTTTTAAAGGTTTGAAAGGAAGCAAAATGTTATCATCCACCAGAGGACTTCTCTGTATTATGATGTCAGTGTGTTTGATTCTCAGTTGGAGCTCCACTAAGCAATGAAAGATGTGAGTTGGAGCATTTCTTTTTCAACATGGATACAGATTTGGATGAATGGCTTCTATGAAATTATTTCAATGAGGGAAATTTTATTTACTAAGTTGTTTTAGAATGTTTGCCAAAAAATGTAATTGCCTTTTGTTTTTTTGGTCATGCTTCCATGGAGTCAAATTTCTGATT